GCAAAAAAGAAAAAAAAGGGGGGGGGGGGGGGGGGGGGTGCATCAGCCAAGTCCGGGTTCGCAGATGCTCATGTATATACATACACGCGCGGTTTGCGATCTTCCCGGCATGCTCCGTGGACAAGAAGGACCGGTTGACACTTTTTCCTTTCTTCTTTTCAAGCTTACTGCTGGGTCCTTTGTGCATACTTGCATGTACATGCACATCCCATTGGTTGTGTTAAGGCTGCAAGCTCGTACCGGTAGGGATTTTCATCCAATTAAAAACCGGATAATAAATGGTACTTTATTTCATACTTAAATTACACTATAATAAAAGTCCTAGTTAACATTCTAATTATAAAGAGCTACATCCCATACATTACACCCTTGATGCGACTAGCGGTCACTTGAGGTACCTAGCTGCAGTCGATTAATGTGGGTCCAAGTGACCTGCTTGCAGCCTTAACACAACCGATGGGATACACCAGGCTGCACGTTGCACACACTGACCCCTTCTTCCCCCCATTCCTCCGTAGCCACGGATCTACAGCGCCGATCCCCAAAGCCAAAAGAACCAGGTGGCTTCAATGTTCCCTCCCGGCAGTCGGGAACCGTGGACTCGGTGGCTGCTCACCCCGGTGCCAATCGCACCAGTTGACCCTCCAACTACCGAGCAGCACCGTGCATCTACAGCCAACATTTGAACCCGTCCTACACTCAATTGCACACGGGTGCGTCATGACGCCAATTTCTTGTCCGATGCGTCTATACGACGCGCTCTTCTTGGCATTTATGCCCTCGGCTCTGCCTGGCCTCATGACTCGAAACAAAAAGGAAGCTTTCCACATTCCCACGTGTGCAATCATGACTACATATTCTACTCCGTACTCTGTACACGCAATGCAACACGGCTCTTGCTATCCGCCGCGACATGACTCCGTGACGAATGCCAGTCAGCCTTGCCCTCCCCACGAGTCCTCTGTGAAATCCCCAACATGCCTGCTGCACCTCAAATAGAATATTCGACAACGGCAGCTCAAGTCCGTGTATTTCCTTTTTTTTTTTTTTTGTAATTTTTTTACATCTTTAGACCATGGGCCCCACGGACGGTCAGAGTCAATGCGAACAAAATTCCCCTGTGCGCTATCCAGTCTATCCGCCATGCATATTCGAGTCAAATACGTCGTCGACGTCGTCACAATCCAAAACCAAAAAAAAAAAAAAAGCGCCAACACCCAATACGAATCCATACCATCTGCTAGCTTTCCGACGCCCGTCGTCATCTCAAACAAAAGAGTACA